TGTTGAAGAAAAACAGAGGTGAACAGAGTATGGAATGATCGATAAAGACATCGATAGTCATGCTGTAAGGAGGGGTTGATTTATCAATCAACTGATTGATAAATGAGGTATATGGAGCAAAAGAAAGAAGTTGGAAGGAATGTTATTGATGAGCTGATCGATCACTCAATTATCGATCAACACATCAATCAACAGTAGTGTAGAATCACAATCAAGTCCAGCAAATAGGTAAGAATTATCAAAAAGCGGATTGATAAATTATTAATCGATCAAATGATCTATAAACGAGGCCAGGTACACATTTTTACTTAACATTTATCGATAACATGATCGATAATTCATTGTTTGAAACTTGATCGATAACTATCTTCAGTGTTCTTGTGTGTTCTTCTTATTTATCGAACACGTAATCTATCACTGTAACATCCCAAAATTTCTAACCTAAAAATAGGGAAATATGTCATACCCTGATATCTTTAGTATGATTAATGACAGATTTAGGGCTGACCAAGGCCAGGTGAGATAAAAGATAGATAAACAGCACAAAAACTGAAGTGAGAACTGAAAAAGGACCAAATTGTCATTTTTAAAATGATTGGTCTACAAAGGGCATTATCGTAATTAGTGTCTAGAAATCCTAAAAATTTCCAATAAATCATGGAAAATAGAATTAATGCCATAGAACAGTATTTGAAGTCTAGAAAGTAAATACGGGTTGAAAATAATTTATGAAAAAAATTATTTTAATTATTAATATTCTGGCTAAATTAAGAAAAATTAGCCAATATTAATTATTAAAAATATCTAGAGATCTTAGAAAATTATGAAAATTTAAAGGAAATTAATTTAGGAATTATGGAAATTTATAAAATTAATTCCAACCCTAAATGAAGAGGAGGTTAGCTTTAATTGAATTTAGAGCTAAATTGATATCGGTAGATTGTTTGTTTTTACAGAAAAGGCAATTTAAGGAGTTATACAAGGAGAAAAATTATGAAATTAATCAGGAAAGTTCTCTTTACTGAGATATAATTAATGGTGAGTTGATATAAGAATTTTGAGATACTAGAATTTTTCAGCTATCAGATAAAATAAACCAGTGCTGTATTAAGACTCCGTGGACTGTCAGGACAACAGGGGTGATAAAATTTCCTACAAATTACCAAGGACACATGTCATGCCCAAATTGGCCAAGAAAGGGAAAAAGAAAAGAAAAATAAAAATAAAAAGAAAATAATAAATAAAATTATATTAAAATCTAATTAGGGATAAGTAAGATGATTAAGGTTTAAGCCATCTTCCATAAGATCTGGACACATGGCAAACATAGTTCATTGGATGGTTAGGATTTAACCATCTAACTTTGAAAAGTCAAAAGTTTCTAGAAGGGCAATTAGCTAAGTTAATCAAGGAATTAAGAGAGTTAACCTTGATTAAGGCCTAATTAATCTTAATGGATAAGAAGAGATGACATAAGCCCTAATGACTCATTATCCAAGTGTCAACATACTAAGCTACATAGCCTAAGATTTGTACATGTGGAAAGAGGTAAAAATTGGAGGGCTAAGATTAAGTCTTATGCAAGAAGGGCATATGTGAAATTAGTGAAATATGAAGCCTATAAATACCCCCCACATGTTCATTTCATACAAGACCTTTCAAGTAGAAAACCTCTTGCAAATTTTCGTGTAGAGAGAGAAAGAGAAGAATTCTAGTGAGAGAAAGTCATTTGGAAGCAAGGTAAGCTTCTAAAACTCTTCTATTTCAAGTTATAATGATGGTATGTTAGTTTTAAGCTATTTTAATGATGATGGGAAGTCACTTTCCTACGAGGAAGTGCTGCCCAAATTTTATCAAAATGATAAGGAATGGTTTAGATGAAGTATGATTAGGATTAAGAATGGTTAAAGGTTAAGGATTAGGTGATTACATGTTAGTTTTGTTGAAAATCCTTTTCCTTATAATTATATACATGGTTCGGCCAAGTCAAGTTCAATGGGAAGGGATTGGATTTTCATAAAAATAATATAATAAATGGATTCTACATGAAAAATTATATAGGAAAAGCCCAAGAAAGTTCAAGAATCAAAGCTAGAAAAATAAACCCTAAAAACCAAGAAAAAGGGGTTTAAGGGGTTATGTTAAGTTGTGAAGTTGCAGTGATACTTAATGTTGTGTCATTGGTTGCCTAATAGGCTATACACAACAAAGGGGCAAAGATCTAGTCAAGAGGAAAGAGTTCAAAAGGAAGGAAAGCATTCAAGGTAGCTTTTGCAATTCATTATGTTAGAGTGTCACCTTACTTTGTATGATTATGGCTATGTGTTTTGCTAACCTGTTATGCTATGAGGTGGATGAGAATGTTATGTTATATGATGTTTCCTCCATGCAAATTATGCCTTGGCTTATGCTATGTTAAGTGCCATGAATGTTTATGATGATATGTCCTTGCCATAGCATGAACATAAAGTTAAAGTATGCATGCATATAGCTTGATTTACAATGTATTGTGTGACCTTGATAATGTATGCAATTGCTACTAAGATTTCCTAAGAATCTTACCCCAATATTTAAACAAACCCTAGGGCCTTCAACATCCAAGGGCAACGGAAAGGAGTTGGCTCTTACTTGAAGAGGTAGTAAGCCATAGTAACTTTATATGGCTTTGAACCTTTCTATTTGGAGGAATGTAATATCAAGCATGCTTTAAGTATCCAATAGTATGAATAAGGCTAGAGGTATACAAGCATGAGTAGAATAGTCCAAGCATGATTAGAAATAGCTAATATAGCTAAGGAGAGTATGCTATGATGTTAAGTGGTCAATTAAGTTAAGTTACCCTTCCAAAGGGGGTAAAAAGTCAACTAAAAGGGATTAAAGTTTGACCAATGATCATTTGAGTAAACGAGTGAGTTAGGTTTTGAAACTTGGCGAACAAAGAGATCTTATTTGTCTCTTTAAAATGAGGGCTAGTTCGCCTAATTCTGATAACCAAGCAGAAAGCTATGCCTTTCCAAAGTTAGGCAAAAATAAAGTAAAAATCTAAAAATGACCAAATGAGCAGTAACTTTTTCAAAGAAAATTGAGCTCGAATTTCAGGGCAATCAGTCTAGAAACTATTTTTCCTCAAAATTTTATCTAAAGAGATTTCCATAGAACTTGGAATCACTCCATTTTGATTTTTCTACAATTAGTTATGAATTTTCAAAGTTGTCATATTTTAGGGTGACAATGAATAGTAACCCGTAAATGAAAATTTTCAAACTTGATTTTTCATAACTTGTAGTCTTCAAAAGTGATTCCAAATGCTTCCACAAGATAAGTTATTTGGTATAAACATAAGGGGTTATAATCACTCATTGATCAATAACTTGATCGATAAATTTAGTGTTGTAACGTTCAGATTTTAAAAAACCCGTCAGTATTAGAGCCCTAACTCGATAAAACTGTTCACCTGTTTCATTAAATTACTCATTCCCTTCCACTCAAAATCATTCCCTAAGCTCTTTCGATCACTACCAAACCTCTCAAATCCATAAAAGACTGAACATTCTTCAAAATCCCTTTTGCAAGACACGAAATGGCAAGGGTTAAACAGGTGGATAATGACCAAGAAGAAAGCTCCGAGAGGCCTGTACAGTCAAAAGAAAAGGGTCAGGCAGCTACAAAGAAACAATATAAACCTAAGGTTCGAGATGATTCCTCGAAAAAGAAAGGTGTGCTCAAGATTAGAGAAAGTCAAGTCGAAAGCACTGAGCAACCACAAAGGAGGTCTCCATGGTCCAAGTCAAAGTTGCCAGTAGTGATTGAGGAATCAGAGACCAAATCTGATAAGGAGGTCTCAGTTCAGAAAGCTATGGATGCGGCCTTAAACATTCTAGTACCTCAATAACCAAGGCATAAGAAACAGAGAACTACTAAAGGGGTATCTCAACCTACTCAAGGTATCACTTCTGAATCTAAGCTTTTGGTGGGAAATCTGGATTGTGATATCAACCAAGCAAAATTTAAGGCTGACTTTACAAGTAGAAAATTCTGTCCTGTAGTATCTGTGAACTTGGAAAGTCTGAAAACCAACAAAAAGATTAACCTAAACTTGGATGATCCTTTGAAATATTACTCAAATTGGTTTAAGTATTGGAGGAGAATATTATCCTGACGTAGTCAAGCGATTCTATTGCAATATGGAATCCTGTGAGGAGTATGATGAGCAGGATAATCTCGTGAGTGATTATCTCAAAACACACCTTAGGGGCAGAACTATTATCATTACTCCTGCTAAGCTAAATGAGTTACTAAGGACAAAAGATCATGTGAAGGGAGGTGAAATGAATGAAATCAAGTCTTACAAGATTCTAATGCAAAGTGAAAATTTTCCTAGTGAGCTTAGTTTTCCCCCTAAACAGATGTGTGACAATTACAGAATAATTTACTACATCTATTCAAGAAGTATGATCGATAAATCTGGCAGCTTCTCCTACCTCAATTAGGATGATTACCTTCTATTAGAAAGAATAATCAGTGGAGAGCAGATAAATATAGGAGCCCTGATTTATAATGAGATGAAGGACTTTGTACTCAACAAGTCCAAGTCAACTCCTATCTGCTATCCTCAGTTAGCTACCTATCTACTTCAAGTGCATAATATTGCACCTATGGAACCTGGAGAGATTAAAGTGAAGGTACCCTCTTTTGGATTAAATCAACTAAACAAGATGAAAATCTCTATGCCCCTTAGACCTTCACAAAAGCTAGCTCAAAAAGATAAAGGGAAGCAACCAGCTGCTAGCACCTCTAGACCCCAAGATGAGGCAGAATCTACTGCAGCTCCCTCTCATACCTCTGGACCCTCATTTATGGAAAGATCAATTAGGGAGATATTCCAGGCAGAGCTTCAAGAATTTGAAAGGAGAGTTTATGCCATGGCTAAAGACTATGAGGAAATATCAAACAGGAAATTTGATGGCCTTTCTAAAATATTAGATCTTCATCATCAAGCCATGGTAGTTTTGGAAAAAGAGGTCTCTCAGAGGTTTGACTATGTTGAAAGGGAGATCAGAGACTTAAAAGGGATGGTAGCCTCTCTCTGTAATAATTTCTCTGCACTAAGCACCTCCTTCAGCTTTGAGGATCTCCTATCTCATCCACCCTCTCCTCCTCACCCTGAGCCTGAACCACCTACATCACCTATACCCACTTCTCCTACTTCTACTTCACCATCTGTTCCTTCCACCTCTCCCACTCCTCCTCCTGCTACCCTAGCCCTTATCACGGCTCCTCAGCCTATTCCTTCTCTGACTCTTCCACCCATCTCTCAGGCTGTCTCTCTACTCTCTCAGCTTCCCCCCATTCCTATCTCAATCACCTTGCCTACTGTTTCTACTTCTTCCCTACCTTTTGATGCTGACAAAAAGGGGAGAAGGAATCTGTTTAGATTAGTTCTTATATATATATTTTTTGTGTTTTTATGTTTTTTTTCTATTAATGTTATGGTTCATGTATTTCTACTATGTAATCTGAATTCTAGTGTTTAAATATTATCAGTCGTGTTTAACTATTATCAGTGGTGCATTTCTGCCAGATTTTGATATGTCGTAAGCTTTTGCTACTTTTGTGATTTGATTTACATTGTTATCTAATGATATATGATTAATCCTACATCTATGTTTTGTCATCATCAAAAAGGGGCAGAATGTTAGATTTAAGGTTTTGATGATAACAAATTAAGTAATATGTGCTTTCATGAGTTGATCGATCAAGGGTTTATTGATCACATGACAAAGAAAATTCCTATGTAAACAAGTAACTCAACAGAAATGATAATTGATAACTTGATAGATAAAACAATTTGTATGTGTTGATTGATCAATTAATCAATCATTGTTAACACTGTTTTGTATAGAAGTCTGCAGAAAAGTATCAATCAATTGATCGATAATATAATGATTGAACAACTGAAAGATAATAGGACACAATATTTAGTAAGTATTTATCGATCACATGATCAATAAATAAGGCATCGATGAGAAGACAGATAAATGGTAAAGCTTCCTACTCTCGTTTTTTTTGTTTTAATCACCATTTATCGATCACTTTATTGATCACGGCTTTATCGATAACTTGTTCTGTCATTGCATAATAACTAACTTGTTTATCAATTTTTTCCTTCTGTTTAAATGTTTTTGAAAGGTATTTTATTGATCACTTAATCGATCAATGGTTTATCGATCAAATGATCAATCATCACCTTTTCACTGATTAAACTGTGTTAAGTATTTCCTTGATCACTTGATCGATCATTAATTTATCAATGAAATGATCGATCATTCAATCTTTTGAATATACTGTTTTTAGATAACGTGATCGATCAAACATTTTCCTGGTATTTCAGAACTAAGTTTCTCGACTATATTTTTATCAATCACTTGAGAAATGGGCCTCAAACTATTGGCGCCTTATGGGTACTCCCTAACAAAATGTCCTAGCCTACCGCATCTGTAGCACACGTTCTGGCCCATTATGCATAGCCAATCTCCGTGATTCCTGCCATAGCCTAGGGGTTGCCCTAGCTAGAGCATGATGATTCTGGTTGTTCTTAGTAATACAGTAGGCTTTTACTGGATTGTTGAACACCTCAATCTATCTTTAGGCCACCTTCTCTCTCAACTAAGGCCTTAATGCCTTGATCATCTTCTCAGTACACCAACACTCATCATTCATATACTGCAGGTAAGTGGAATAATGAGACAGCTTAGTATACTTAATAAGATATTCATTAAACGATTCGGTCTCACCCTGTCTCACTATTAGAAATTCTGCTTCTTTTCCATCCCTCACTGATCTCAAGAAATATTTCTAGAAGAACTAATCCTTGAATAGTTCCCAAGAAAGTGGGGTTTCATCAACTCAGAGGAATATCTCTATATTCCTACACCATCCATCTGCTTCGTTTTCTAGCTTATAGATTGACATTTGTGCCTAATTAGTCTCGGATAAGCAATCCATAACCCTAAATATCTTCTCAAGCCAAACAGTCCAATCCTTGGCCACCTGCACATCTAATGTGCCCTTAGATGCTGGTGAATCGTGCTTGCAAAATCATGCAATCCACTGCTGTCAATTATCTGGTTCCCCTACAGGCCTCTCTTACTCCATCACTAGTTCTTGGGGTTGGGCTTTGGACTAGTTGGGCTATCTTGGCTACTCCTGTCCTGGGTTATTGTAACTGTGTTATGGTTGTTGTTATTACTGCTGCTATCGCAGTGTCCCTTTCTTGTTCCTGACGAGCTTGGGTTACTCATAACTCTTATATCATTTTCTGTTATTCCTCTAATTGATTCATTATTATTTGAATTGGACTGATAAGAGGCCTATTTTGTTCCTTCCCTGCTTGTGTATTACATCTTATTCTCACTATGTTTATTGTTTCTTCTTAATTACAAAAGGAACAACGCCATTATACATAACCTTTAACTTTTATCTATAACCTTTATATTTAATATAAAACAGTAGCATAGTTCAACTAGTCACAACTAGGCATGTCAAAAGTCACATATCATACAGTCATCTAGAACTGGCCAGGAAAGGGAAAAGTAGTCATAATAAAATTCTCTAAAACATCTATTAGTTGTTTAAAGGTATATCCATCCACGCTATCACAAATCATTGGTATGGCATCCTGCCAAATCTAGGTATCTGGGAGGGTAGCTAACAGTACGTCACCCCACACATCAGCATCCAGGGTCTGTACTCCCCTATTGACTGCTACATATAACAACCTAATAGAGGAAATCAAGATAAACTATGGTATATTGATTCTCATTTCTTTTGATATGTTTGCGTAAAAACATAAACTCCTTATTCAAGTCCTCCATTGTATTGAACTCCTTAGGCACTGATAGTAGCCTCTTCTTTGGAGGTAGTATTCTTATCTTGCTGGGGCCTACCTCATTATCATTATTCCTTGGTTTGAGTACTGGTTGTGTGCTTGGTGATAGCAGTGTGCTTGATCCTATCTCACTCTCATATAACTCTAATCTGGTTAGAACCCACTTTAGAATAAATATCCTCAATTTTACTAAGTAATTGATAATATCCCGAGGGAGTAGTAGAATGGTCAGGATCTTTTACCATGGAATGATACCAATCTGGGTATGGCTCTCTAGGCATCCTCTAATTAATAGCTTTCTCTGAGTGATCACTTTCACAACATGCCATACTTCTGGTTCTTGCACTTTCCTCATATCACAGCAAACCAAACAAACAAAAATCATACTATGTAGTACAATGCTAACACAATAATCAATCATCAAATAATAGTCCAAAACCTTTGCTCTAATACTAAAAATGTCACACCTTCCTTTTAGACTATATAATCTCTCAAATAGAACCATTTGGAACCACTTCTTATGGCTTTAAGATAGAAAAATTCAAAATTTAAAATTCATTAAATTGGGGTTACTATTCATATAACCCTAAACCAAGGACAAACTTTAAAACATCATAACTAATTTTAAAAAAATCAAAATAAGATAGTTCTAAGTTCTATTTAAAGCTATTAATATGATCTTCAGAGGAAAAATGCCCTTTGGTACCAAACCTTTGTCAATCATTCCCAAAATTCACTCAAAGTAGTACTGTTCATTTGGAAATTTTCCATTTTCTAGAATTTATGCCTAAGTTTGGATAGCCATAACTTTTTGTACAAAACTCTAATTTTGATGAATTACCACTAGTTTTAAAGCTAAAAATATGATCTATGCATCTAACAAGTTTCAGCTCAAAACTCAATTATTTGACTAGAATCACATTGGCATGAATTTGAGGCTTTTTTAGCATTATTTTATCCCTTTTTCATGCATTTCTTTGATTTTTCTCATCCTCCAATTCCATGTGGCTATACAATTTACATACCACATATTCAAACATCACATTTCTAGTCCAATACAATCACCAAAGTTAGCATCACAAATATCCAAACTTCAAATATAATTAACAAAGTTCACATAAAATCATAAACATTATGAGTATTGTTCACTTCAACCCAACATGATCTCCTTGCCCTTCTCCTTGGGAGTTCCAACTAATTGAACATGAAAAGAGTGAGATTTCAAAGAAATCCCAATAGCAAGAACTACAATAATCATGCTAAACATGCAGTGCAATAATGTCATATGTCACTAACTAAATATCATAGATACTTTTATGCTCATATGCCATGGAAAGGGAGCAAGTAACCATACCATTCAACCATTCAACATTTTGTAAAGTTAAGGCACATTATGCATGGAGTTAATCATATTATCATGCCTCTAGTTCTACCACATCATGGCATAGAAAAATCAAGCAACACATAGCAAAAACAAGCTAAGCAAGTTAGCAATCAAATTGCAAGTTCATTGCTACCTTTTATTTACTCAAGTATTCAGTCTCTTTAGCTCTTTTGTTCCTGCTTGTTCTCTTGCTCAATGCCTATCAATTCATGTATAAATACATGCCACATTATCAATAATAACACATAAAATACTATTAGGCATCAAGATAACTCTATAACCTTCTTTTCTTTGACTTTTTGACTTAAATTTCCATATTTGTCTTGACAAGTCTCAAGGGCTATTTCTACACAATTTTTCATGTAGAATGCAAATATCGAATTGGTTTTATCAAAATCAAACTCCTCCCTACAAAACTACCCCTGGCCAAATAGTATGTACGTTAGTGTTAGGATTTCCATTTTTTATTCCAATACTTTTAAATACTTTCTCTTGGTATATTCCCACATAAAATCATATTCTAAACACATTGGAATCATCAAATTAAACTAAAACAATCTCTAACCCCTTTAATCAAGCTTGACCGAATAGGTTTTTTAATTAGGGAATTTAGAGTTTTTTCCAAAATCAATCAAAACATCAACCAAGCAAGCCAATCCAAGCTCTAAATCATGGTTCCTATCCTTCCCTAATCATTCCTTATCAATTTGATAATTGGACAGCACATACCTTAGGATTTTTATCACGAAACACCACATGAAACTAGCTAGAAACATAGTCAAATAAAAGCTTTAACATACCTTGATTAATTCTTGACTCTTGCTTTATAATTCCTGGCTTATTCCTATGTGTTCTTGGCTCTCTAAACTCAATTTTTCTATAGCAAAACCTTCCCTCCTTAAGGTGCCAAATTGTCCAAAATTGAAGGCGTGGGAGGGGTTATTTATAGGCAATGTTTCAGCCTCCATGACCCTCCAAGTATCTCACATAAATCTTGATCAAAAGGCTATGTGTCCCCTCTCACAAGTTGCAGAAAATTTAGTGGAGCCAAGTGTTCCAAGGTAATTGTGTTTAAGATAAACCTATATACTTATTTTTATTAATTTCAAATTTAATCATGTGGGCCACAAATTTCTAGGCATTTCTTGGCCCAAAACCATGCCTAATGGGCGAGAAAAAGAAGGAAGGAATATTACCCTTCAACTTCAAACATTTTTCCACCCGATTTCACCGAATCAGCTAAAATTCCTATCTAATTTCTAATAATATTTCTGGAGCTCCAAAAATTCATTGCTACCCATGTAAATCATCTTTCAATATAAGAAGATCCCCTAAATTTTTCTAGAATTTATTTCAACCTCTAACTACCTGTGCTGAATTTTCTCCGAAATCAAGTTTTGTCGATAAGATTTCAGCAACAATTATTCTACAATTAATCATTTCACTCTTAGAGCCTGAAATAATTTTATAATCTCAATTAAACCTTCAAATAATTTTCTTATTTTTTTAGAATTATTGAGGCCTCTACATATTTAAAATAATTGTTTTTGGCTAATTTTTATTGTTTTACTAGAAAAACCTCTTTTTACAAAAAATTTTATAATAAATTATTTTCATTCTAATTCCACTTCTAGGGCCTCAAATATAGTTCCAAACCTCTAATTTATTTTTCTATGATTTTTTGGAATTTTTCTCTGATTTTTTCATTTTGCCCTTCCTAGACCAATAATTTCAAAAATATCAATCCGAGCAAGAGTTTAATCTCAACCCAAAAGTTGTTCTAGCTCTGAATCTACTTTACTACTTGGCCTATGTCTAATTTATTATCCACACTCTCAAAGCTAAAATTAGTGGGATGTGACACCTCCAGAAGAGGCAGTTCTAGAGGCCCCCACTTCTAAGTGGTAATACTAGTAGGAGCCAATCATCATTTAGAGGCTCTATTACTTCTACACCTAGCATCGCACGTTTTCCAGCATGTTCTAGATGTGGCAAGCATTATTAGGGTAAGTGGTGGACTTACTTTACTTGTGATAAGATTGGGCATATCTCTCGCTATTGCTCTAAAAACAAACAAAGAGGACCAGAGACCTAATCTATTATTCCTGGATGTGTGTTTTTATTAACTCAGGAGAAAGTCAGTGCATCTCCTAACCTGATTAAAGGTATAATTTCTCTCTATGGTCACAATATGCATGCATTATTTGACTTGGGTACCACACATTCTTTTATATCTTTTGAATGTGCCAAGTGATTGAACTTACATGTTTCTGAATTGCCTTTTAATATGAATGTTTCAGCACCTATTGGATATTCTATAAAAACCTTAAATGCATGCTTAAATCTTGTGTTGGAGTTTGAGAATTGTAAGACAAGGATTGATTTGATTTTTTTGCCCCTTAAGGGTCTTGATGTGATTATGGGCATGGTTGGCTAACAACTAATGGTGTCACACTTGATTGTAAAGCATAAAAACTATTTCTTTGCCTGTGTATTGCATGCCTATTGAGGTACCTAGTGGCCCTCCTTTGTTATTAGTTGTTCAAGTTAAAAGTTGTATAAAGCAAGGATGTTAGGCCTTTATGGTCTTCTTTTCTGTTCAAACTAAGATAGAAGGGATTAACAAAATTGCGATTATGAATGAGTTTCTTGAGATATTTCTTAGGAGAGTTTCAGGATTACCTCCCAAGCGAGAAGTAGACTTTTCCATTGATCTAGCTCTTGGGACAGAGCCTATCTCTAAAGCTCCCTATTGAATAGCTCCTGCTAAATTGGTAGAACTAAAGAAAAAGCTCGAAGAATTACTTGAGAAAGGATTCGTTAGACCAAATGTATCACCATAGGGGTCATCAGTGTTATTTGTGAAAGAAAACGAATGGGACCTTATAGTTATGTATTGATTACCAGCAATTAAACAAAGTCATAATCAATAACAAATAGCCGCTACCAAGAATCGATAACTTGTTAGATCAGCTTGTGTGGTCAACAGTATTCTCTAAGATTGACTAAAGGTCAGGATACCATCAATTAAGAGTTAAAGTAGAAGATGCCCCAAGACTGATTTTGTACTCAGTACAGTCACTATGAGTTTCTTGTAATCTCATTTGGTTTAACCAATGCTCCAGCTATATTCATAGATTATATGAATATGATCTTCAAACCCCATTTAAATAAATGTGTGTTGTTAATAGATGACATTCTCATCTACTTGAGAAATAAATAGGAACACTATAAGCATATTATATGAGTATTGAGAGAGCATATGCTTTATGCTAAACTGAGCAAGTACAAGGTTAAGGAAGTGAAGTTCTTTGGGCATGTTGTTTTAGCTGAAGCGGTTGCAATGGACCATACAAAAGTTGATGCGTTCTTAAGTAGCAACAACCAAAGTTAGTGATCAAGGTTAGAAGTTTCCTAGGATTGTTTGGTTATTACTAGAGGTTCGTACTAGGATTCTTTCATTGGCTATGCTACTTACTAAGTTGACCAAGAAAGAACAACCATTCATCTGGACAATGAAGTGTGAAGTTGCCTTTCAAGAGTTGAAAAAGAAGTTGACTTCTGCACTAGTATTTGTTACTCCCGATCCCGTTTTATGAATAATATATCGAATCGTGGTGGGACTTTTTGAGATTTCATTTAATTTATTGGTTTATTGGAAATTTGTATATCTTCTTTTGATATATAACTAAACAAGTGTGCTTTTGATACATATTTTATCATATTATGTAGGGAATTTATTGTCAAGATCTCGAAAGATATGAAAGATCTCCCTCCAAGTCGTACATACGACTTTCATCGAATACGGCTTTCCACAGAATTCTATATGTATCTATGAGATCGAGTATGAACTGTTCCCTGGGATTGGCTTTGGGCCTTTCCTGTGCAGCTTAGGTGGAGGGCGAAGAAGGGTCTCTTAACGCCTTCTTTTTTCTTCTCATCGGAGTTATTTCACAAAGACTTGCCTATTTGTAATGTATCTGAGATTTCTTTTGGCTAGTTCTACCCCTCAATTTCCCTAGACTAGACTTTTGTTTCTTGAACAGTTCTTTCAAAAAATGAATCCGCCTGATTTATGAGTAATAAGATAATTCATGACTTGGGGGGGTTTAAGAATAGAAAGGAATAACCGAATTGAGTTAATGGATTTACCTAGGTCAAGAGACCAATAAATGATTTTTATATTTGAATTAGATCCGCTCTTCATAGACAAACTTGGGATTTGCGATCCTAGGTAAGATCGGTTCAGGATCATGGTTTGCTATACACCTTATATATTGATACCTCTTTGAAAGCTTTAGGGTGCGTGTTAATGCAAGAAGAAAAAGGTTGTTGCTTATGCTTCTAGACAGTTGAGACCATAGGAGGAGAATTACCTAACTCATGACTTAGAACTAGCAGTAGTGGTATTTTTATTGAAGATATAGAGACACTACCTATATGGTTCACAATTTGATGTTTATAGTGACCATAAGAGTTTGAAACATCTTGTGGATCAAAAGTAGCTCAATAATCAACAGAGAAGGTGGATGGAGTTCCTAAAAGACTAGATTTCCAACTGAAGTATCATCCCGGTAAAGTGAATGTTATTGCTAATGCTTTAAGTAGGAAAATTGTTCATATATTTTAGCTGAGTCTCTATGAGAACTAGTTGTTAGAGAGGTTGAAGGACACTGATATGTTAGCTGATATGGATACTATTTTGCAAGCCATACTAGTTGAGAATGAATTCTCGAAGGAGATCAAGATAGCTCAGTTGGAAGATGACTATTTATTAAAGATTAGGGAAGAATTAGAAGAAGGAGAAGTAATTTTGAAGTTGGCAAAGATGGTATTTTGAGATTCAAAGATAGAATTTCCATCCCTAATAATGAAAAATCCAAGCAATACATCTTAGAGAAAGCTCATCAGAGTAGATATACCATACATCCAGGGATCACCAAGTTATACAATGATTTAAAGCAGAATTATTGGTGGCCTAGAATGAAGAAAGATGTGACAGAGTTTGTCTTTCATTGTTTGACTAGTCAAAAATTAAAATTTGAGCATCAAAAGTTGCTAAGGTTAATTCAAAATCTAGAGACACCAAAATAGAAATGGGATAGCATATCAATAGATTCTATTATGGGGCTTCTAAGGGCCCTTAGTAAACATGATGCAATTTGGGTGATTATTGATTGTTTGACCAAATCCACTCATTTCCTGCCCATTCAAGCTACTTATACAATGGACCAATATGCTCGATTATACATTAATGAGTTGTCAGCTTGCATAATGTGCTAGAGAGCATTATCTCTGACAGAGTTCTAAAGTTCACATCAAGTTTTTAGAGAACTTTACACCAAACTATGGGTTCTAGGTTGAAATACAGTATAACTTGTCATCCACAAACTCATAGATAATGTGATAACCATTCTTTCAAAACTTAGATTAAATCGAACAATTTATTTGAAAGATTAATCATGATAGAAAAAAAAGAAACCTTAAAATTTTAAAATCACTATCATAGTTAAAAGAAATAAACTTATATTACGAGCGATATCAATCATTAACTTGGGCCTTGGACTTTCAAAGTCCAGAAATATCATTCAACCATTAGCCCAAACCAAACTCACACTTTCAAACATACAAACTAATAAATCATTTCAATATAAGCTATGGAGTTCATGAGCCAAAAGTTAACATTTTAAAAGGATGTCACATGCAGAGTCTTAGCAGTATCTGGCCTTCTAACGGCCCTCTCATATCAGATAGTAGTAATTAAAAGTATTAATTTACAACATTAGAGTGGATGAGGCCTATGTGGCAATATATAATAAATCGGCACATATAACAAAAGCACAGAAGCTATACAAGCTATAATAGCACACTATGCCTCTGAAGCCTTCCCTGATGGATTACTACCTGTAGATAAAAACCACAAGGTGAGACAAAAGCCTCAGCAACCAACTTTCCAACTCATCATACATACTAATACGTACTCGTGAGGTGTCAAGTGAGACAGTTATTAATTCTCAAGAAATATAGATATATCCATAGAAATATAATTTCAATCATTCAAACCCTCACTATAGGGGCTAATACACAAGCTACATAAGTCTACCCCTTACTATGAGAGATCAATCAGACATATAGACCTATCCCTCACTCTAGAAGCCACAAAGGCCTATCCCTCACTATGGGGGATGAAGGAAGCCAATCAGTGTGCACTAATGGCGGCCTTACCACATGGTAGAACAGGACTTAACTCAAAATTCAAATAACAATCAATCATTCACAATATAACAAGAAATGTCTCAATCTTTTCTCAGTATAATCCATAAAATATATATCATGTATTTTTTCAAACTTCTCAATCACAAATCCAAAAATCTCACAAGACAATTTTTAGAGCCCAAAAGTCATAACATATTTTATTGAGTTCCAAATAACACATCATTATTCTAAAATAGTAAAATACTCACAAACAATATATTAGCACGTATAACAAGTGGAAAGTAGTTACTTCTTGCCAAAGCAATAGAAAGGATTACCATAAGGTCAATGTTTTGCTCAACCAATAATTAATCTACACAGTTAATATAACCACATATTAATATAAGCTAATTAATTAATTAAGTAAGCTTATATATTAGTTAAATTTCTAATTAAATTAAATTAAATCAATTTTTTATTTTAAATTCCCACAACTCTCATAACCTAAAATTAAGTATTATATTTTATGTTCTCCAAATTATTTATAACTGAGCCAAATTATTTATTTATATCCTCCAAATAATTTACTTTAATAAAAAGAATTTTTCAAAATTTCCAAATATGAAATTATTATATTTTAAATTCTAAAAATATCATTTAAAGTTTAAACATCAAAATCAAACCATCAAAAATTCAATAGTGCCCTAGATATTTATAAATAAATAGTCTAATCAAAATTTTAATGGTACAACTATCATATCTATATATATTTCCATAAATAATAAAATTTTTAGCTAAAACAATTATTTTAAAACCTCCAACCACCCAATAAATAAAACTAAACCAATTAAAATCTCAATAATATGTCAAACAATCCAAATAAATTATTTAACTTAAATTTAATCTATAAAAATATGATATATTCCATATATAATAGATTTTTCAACTAAACAAATTAATTTAAATACTAAAAACTAACAAATGGGCAAATCTAAACCAATTAAAATTAACTACTCATTTACCTCTAAATTTCTGTGGTCATCTATTACCAAAACTCAATACTTACTCCATATATAAGTCTCAAAATTTTCTCTAATCACTATAGTAATACTGTCATTAAAAAGTTTAAAATATATAGGAAATATTCATGAAGAAAATTTGATAAAAAGAAGTAATTTTGTGTACCTAAATTATCCCCAAAGCTTGTCTTCTCCCTCACAATAATCACGATCTGCTCCTTGCTGTCTATCCCGCACTCTTTCTCTTGCTCTCCATTCTTTCTTTCTTTCTTTCCCTCTTGCCCTCTTTTTATCTCCATCTTCTCCAACCACCTTTCTCAATTTTCTTCTTGCATTAAATCCCTCTCCCCTAAATTCTTCCTTCTTAGTCAATGCATCAGCTTTCCACTGAATTCGATGGAAATCTATTTTCTTTTTTTAAAATGAAAATATTTTTTTTATTTTTTTAATTTTTTAACAATTTTTTTACTAAATCCTAAAATAAAATTTAGGATATTACAGATAAACTGAGAGAACAATCCAAACCTTAGAAGACATGTCGAGGGCTTGAGCCATTGAATTGAAGGGCAGTTATGATAGTCACTTGCCATTGGCTAAGTTTACCTATAATAATAGCTATCACTCAAGTATTTAGGTGGTGTCTTATGAGGCATTGTACGACAGAAGGTGCATATCATCATTATGTTGGACAGAGTTAAGCGAGAGAACTATTATAGGCCTCGATTACATTGACCGAACTATTAAAAACATTGAAATGATTAAAAATTTGTTGGCAGCTCAGAGTAGATAGAAGAGCTATGTGAAGATATACGGTTCATTTGGTCAAACAGTACTTTAGAGTTTTTTTTTCTCTAACTTTAAAAAATAGTATTTTTTGGCACACACATCCATTTTAGATGATCTACTACTTATTTTAAAGCTCATGATATGTTCTTCTTATAGGTAGATTCATTCGTTTGCTTTAACCTTACTCTATCTCAAAATCGTCACTTCATATTGGAATGTTCACTCTCTTACTTTGAATTAACATATAATAAACATCTCTTTACATACATGTAACCGTTCCAACCTTTCATAAATCATTCTTATGATTTATCATGCTTATCTTTAGATGCCAAGATCATCATTCATTATTACATATCATTAATAGGCTTGTTCATACAATTATCCTATACAAGGAGATTTATTACATCACATAATAACATGTACATAATGCATTTCTCAAGTTCTTCTCTTCTTTCTTTATTCCTTATCATTTATTCCTCTTTCTTTGCATATCATACATATTATAGTTGGATAAGGGAGGGTGAGGTTTGAGAGAATCTCAATAGCAAACAATAACTACCTTAACATATAAGGTATAGCTTGTCGTTCATAACATGCATGCAAACTTTACATTATTATGACATAGTGAAATGTTTAAAAATTTATCATGCATTAAACATAAATCACATCGGCCTATGGCATACATTAAATATATTCACATTCATAATGCATGAGTTCATAAAAATCACATAAGCATGACAAATATGTTATACGTATAAGCAATTACCAAACACATAAGAGTGAGAAAAAGTTTGCTACCTTTAGCCTTTTACATTCAATCTTTCCTCCTGCTCCCTTTGCTTCCAACCATTAAGGTTGCTTAATTAACCTTTCCTATTCATCTTTCTTGACGTGACTTCGCCCTAATCACATTAACACATCATTGCCATTCATTTATTGGAGCCATGGAATCAATGACATTTATACTTTGCTCTTTAACATACTTTAACATCTAACTTTTGAATTTTGATTCTAATCTTTCTAAAATTAATTCACATGCTATTCCCTCATGATGTGGCATGTAGAATCCATTTTCAAGCTCAAATCAAACACAACTAAATCTTTTATTGGTAATAGTAATTTTGATGCGTATTGTTGAAATATACTTGGGCTATTATGAAATCCCATTGGTATTACATTCCATTCATATAATCCTTCAGAAGTGCTAAAAGCTGTATATTTTTTTACTTTCTTCTTCTAATTTTATCTGAAAAAATCCTGAGTGGCAATCAAATTTACTAAATATTTTTTTTCCTCTAATTAGATTAAATAGAAGATCTATTTTTGGAATAGAATATCTATTTTTTATTGCTAGACTTTTTAATTTTTTATAGTTGATTGCCATTCTTGATTTTCCTCTCTTTTCTTCACTGTGTTTACTACTATCTTTGCATGTGAAGAGAATATTCTGATCTACTTAGTCTAATTAGATTTTATTGTTTCACTTCATTAATATTCATAACAAATTCTCGCTTATATTGCTTATTCCACGGAAAAAGTCGACCATTTATTTCTTTACGATAGTCTTTTAATTCTATTTTTGCCAACGGCCTTGATTTATTCCAATGAACTAATGGATTATCACTATAATTTTCTAAAAGTCTTTGTCCTATTGTTTTAGCTTCTATTATAGTAATAGCTGATTTGTATCCTATTTTTGCTAGTTTATAGTTAGATAAGAATTGGATTTCATTATCATCGCCTTTTTCTTTTGAAACTTTTCATCTCTTCTTCTATAAGGTCTTGTTATTCTTTACAAGTTTCGTGTTTACAAAGAGTTGTCAATACTAAAACTCTCCAAGTAAAATGTATTGGTTCATAAAGATCAAGAAAACCTAATCCTAATATTACATCACGTTATGTTTCATTATATTAATTTAAATATGGTATTTGTAATTCATATTATCCTATTTGTATGGGTATATTTTTGCCTCCTCTATCATATGTATTTCTTTTCCTGCACTTCCAATTATTAGTAACTTATCTTTTTTCTTCCATAATTCTAGTGGCAAAACATTATACTTGCTCCTGTATTTATTAAAGCATGAGATTTCCTAGACCTATATTTTTGATAATTAAATTTAACTAGTATATAATATTACTTCCTCATTGGTCTAATTTTACTATTGGTATCACTATTGTCTGATAATTAATATTGTGTATTATTATATCTTCTTGTGTCCTATAAAGTTTTACTCGCTGTAGAAAATCTTTTCCTATTATTATTTTATTTATCTTCTGCACATATTAAATCTTAATATAGAGGTTGTCTTTGATCCTTCTGTTATTTCTAAATTATTCTCTGTATAGTTTGATTGGATAGGACTCCTCCGGTCCTTAATATATGATCTAATTATTGAGTTGATTTTGATCCTAAATATAAGACCTATTTATCATATTTATCATTTTTTTTAAAATTACCCCTATGGATACTCCCTCAACCATAATTAAGTAGAAAAAAGAGAGAGGATATAATTAACTAACTTACCTAACTTCTTTAATTTAATCAAATTAGTTAAACAGGTCTCATATTAAGGACCGAGGGATTTTTTTCCTTTATTTAGATTTATGATTGCTATTACTTCCATCCATATTTCGTCTTTTTTAATTTCTAATAAAACAGAGTTATTATGTTGTATAGTAAAATCTATTTGAGATGTTCTACGTCTTATTTGAGCTAACACTACTGCAAAAAGGTTCACCTTTGTTTGCATTGGAGGCTTTTTTTCATCTATTTAAAGCGAGACGTTGATGAAAGAGATGTAAATATTAAGCACTTGTTTATCTGTTGGCAACAAACGAAAAATGAGCCTATA